CTGGTGGTCCCCTCATCTCTGGTGGTCCCCTATTCCTCGTCCCCATCACTGGTGGTCCCCCATCCCTCGTCTCCACTGGGGGTGATGCCCCTCCCTTGTCCCCATTGGTGATGGTCCCCCATCCCTCATCCCCATCACTGGTGGTCCCCTCATCACTGGTGGTCCCCTATTCCTCATCCCCATCACTGGTGGTTCCCTCATCGCTGGTGGGCCCCCATCCCTTGTCCCCATAAGTGACAGTCTCCCGCCCCTCGTCCCCATCACTGGTGGTCCCCCGTTCCTTGCCCCCATAAGTGGCAGTTCCCCATCCCTTGTCCCCATCACTGGTGACCCTCCATCCCTCATCCCAATCACTGGTGGGCCCCCATCTCTCATCCCCATCGCTGTTGGTCCCCCATCCCTTGGCCCCATCACCGGTCATCCCCCATCCCTTATACCCATCGGTGGCGGTCCCCATCACTGATGGTCCCCCATCCCTTGTCCCCACCAGTGGTGGTCCCCCATCCCTTGTCCCCATCACTGGTGGTCCCCATCTCTTCTGCCCATCACTGGTGGTCCCCACCTTTTGTCCCCATCAGTGACAATCCCTCATCCCTCATCCCCATCAGATGCCATCCCCTATCCCTTGTCCCCATTGGTGGTTGGTGGTCCCCCATCCCTCGTCCTCATCACCAGTGGTCCCCCATCCCTTATCACCCTCAGTGATGATCCCATATCCCCACCAGTTGTGGTCGCCCATCCCTCATCCCCATCAGATGCCATCCCTCATCCCTCATCCCCACCAGTGGTGGTCCCCCATCCCTTGTCCCCACCAGTGGTGGTCCCCCATCCCTTGTCCCTATCAGTGACAATCCCCCATCCTTCATCCCCATCACTGGTCATCCCACATCCCGTCCCCATCAGTGGTGGTCCCCCATCCCTCGTCCTCGTCACCAGTGGTCCCCCATCCCTTATCGCCATTCGTGGTGATCCCCCATCCCACATCCCCACCAGTGGTGGTCCCCCATCCCTCATCCCCATCAGATGCCATCCCACATCCCGTCGCCATTGACAACAGTCCCCCATCCCTTGTCCTCGTCACTGGTGGCCCCCCATCCCTTATTGCCATCAGTGGTGGTCCCTCATCCCTCATCCCCATCACTGGTGGTCCCCCATCTCTCATCTCCACTGGGGGTGATGCCCATCCCTTGTCCCCAGTGGTGATGGTTCCCCATCCCTCATCCCCATCACTGGTCATGCCCCATCTCTCATCCCCATCCCTAGTGGTCCCCAATCCCTCGTCCCCACCAGTGGTGGTCCCCCATCCCTCATCCCCCCCCCCAACGTCCCCCCTGGCTGCAGCACCCCCCTCCCCGGGGGTACCCCCCTCTCTCCGGGGCCGACCCTGACCCCCCCTGACCCCCAGCCTTCCTGGAGGACGGGATCCTGGTGCGGGACGGCAGCCGCATCCGCCGGCGCTACCTCTGCTCCTGGCGCTTCCCCTGGGACGTGGCGTCGGTGCTGCCCACCGACCTGCTCCCCAAACCCCTGGGGGGGACGGCGGCCCGCGCCAACCGCTGCCTGCGGGCCCCCCGCCTCCTGGAGGCCTTTGAGCGCCGGGAGACGCGGACGGGCCACCCCAACGCCTTCCGGGTGGCCAAGCTGATGCTCTACGTCTTGGTGGCCATCCATTGGTACGCCTGCCTCTACTTCGCCCTCTCCTCCCGCCTGGGGCTGGGCTCCGACCCCTGGGTCTGCCCCGACGCCGGCCGCCCCGGCTTCTCCCGCCCGTTGCGCCGCTACCTCCACAGCTTCTACTTCTCCACTTTGGTCCTGGCCACCGTGGGGGACACCCCGGAGCCCCGTCGTTGGCAGGAGTTCCTCTTCTCCACCGCCGGCTTCCTGTTGGCCGTCATGGGCTTCGCCACCCTCACCGGCAGCGTGGCCTCCCTCATCGCCAACGCCGGCGCCGCCGACGCCGCCTTCTACCCCGACCCCGAGCCCGTCCGGCGCTACCTGCGGGGTCGGGGGGCCGGTGGGCGGCTGGCACGAAAGGTGGCCGAGTGGCACCACCACCTGCGGGCGCAGGGCAAGCTGCCCGGAGAGCTGGGGGTCCTGCGGCACTTGCCGCGGGGGCTGCGGGGGGAGGTGGCCGCCAGCGTCCACTTGCCGGCCCTGGGGCGCGTGGGGCTGTTTGGGGGGTGGGAGCCGGGGGTCCTGCGGCAGCTGGTGCTGAGGTTGCGCCCCCAGGTCTTCGGGCCCGGGGAGTTCGTGTGCCGGCGGGGGGACGTGGGGCGGGAGATGTACTTCGTGAGGGAGGGGCGGCTGGCCGTGGTGGCCGAGGACGGCGTCACCCAGTTGGCCATCCTGGGCGAGGGGCTCTACTTCGGGGAGATCAGCCTCATCAACATCAAAGGTGAGACCACCACACACACCCACCCCCACACACCCAGCATCACAGAATCACAGAATCCCAGAATCATGATATGGGGCCACCAGGGACCTTCTGGAGATCATGTCCTTCAGAGCAGAGCCCCAGGTCCCTCAGCCTTTCCTCAGCAGAGAGATGCTCCAGTCCCTCATCATCCTCGCAGCCTCTGCTGTCCCCTCTCCAGCAGCTCCCTGTCCTTCTGGAACTGGGGAGCCCAGAACTGGTCCCAGTGCTCCAGCTGGGGCCTCCCCAGGGCAGAGCAGAGGGGCAGGATGACCTCCCTCCAGGTTCTCCACGCTCTTCCTGATGCCCCCCAGGAGTCCATTGGCCTTCTGGAGCTGGGGAGCCCACAACTGGACCCTCACACCACACCACACACCCCCCCCCAAGCCCACCCCAGCCTCACCACAGCCCCTCCATGTCCATGTCCGTGTCCCCCCCCCAGGGAACACCTCGGGGAACCGGCGCACGGCCAACATCATGAGCATCGGCTACTCGGACCTCTTCTGCCTGGCCAAGGAGGACCTGGCGGAGGTGCTGGCCGAGTTCCCCAGCGCCCGGGCCACCATGGAGGCCAAGGGCCGGCAGCTGCTGTTGGCCATGGGCAAGCTGGACCTGCGGGCGGAGGCGGCGGCGGCGGAGGCCGAGCGGAGGGTGGGGGACCTGGAGGTGGCCCTGGAGGGGCTCCAGACGCGGGCGGCGCGGCTACTGGCCCAGCTGGAGTCCGGGGCCTTCAAACTGGCCCTGAGGGTCCAGCGCCTCGAGGGACGGCTCCAGAGGAGGCAACGGATGGAGGGGGGAGCGGGGTCTGGGGGGGCACAGGGTCCCCCCAGGGTGCAGGGTCCCAGTGGGGCGCAGGGTCTCACGATGCCACAGGGTCCTGCCCAAGGACGAGGTCCTGATGGAGGTCGGGGTCCCACCAGGGAGTGGGATCCCCCCGGGGTGCAGGGTCCCAGTGGGGTGTGGGGTCCTTCCAGGGTGCAGGGTCCCACCAGGGCACAAGGTCCCCATGGGGTGCAGGGTCCCAGTGGGGTGCAGGGTCTCCCCAAGGCACAGGGTCCCCCCAAAGCACAGGGTCCCCGTGGGGTTCAGGATCCCCCCAGGTCACAGGATTCAAGTGGGGTGCAGGGTCCCCCCAAAGCACAGGGTCCCCGTGGGGTTCAGGATCCCCCCAGGTCACAGGATTCAAGTGGGGTGCAGGGTCCCCCCAAAGCACAGGGTCCCCGTGGGGTTCAGGATCCCCCCAGGTCACAGGATTCAAGTGGGGTGCAGGGTCCCACGGGGCGGGTTCAAGTGGGGTGCAGGGTCCCACCGGGCCACAAGGTCCCCCCAGAGTGAGGGGTCCCACGATGCCACAGGGTCCTGCCCAAGGACAAGGTTCTGATGGAGGTCGGGGTCCCACCAGGGAGTGGGGTCCCCCCATGGTGCAGGGTCCCATCAGGGAGCAGGGTCCCCCCAAGGCACAGGGTCCCCCCAGGGAGCAGGGTCCCAATGGGGTTCAGGATCCCCCCAGGTCACAGGGTTCAAGTGGGGTGCAGGGTCCCACCGGGCCACAAGGTCCCCCCAGAGTGAGGGGTCCCACGATGCCACAGGGTCCTGCCCAAGGACAAGGTTCTGATGGAGGTCGGGGTCCCACCAGGGAGTGGGGTCCCCCCAGGGTGCAGGGTCCCCCCAAGGCACAGGGTCCCCATGGGGTGCAGGGTCCCAGTGGGGTTCAGGATCCCCCCAGGTCACAGGGTTCAAGTGGGGTGCAGGGTCCCCCCAGGGTCCCAGGTCTTCCCAAAGCGCAGGGTCCCAGTGGGGTGCAGGGTCCCCCCACATCCCAGGGTCCCCCCAAAACACAAGGTCCCACCAGGGTGAGGGGTCCCACGATGCCACAGGGTCCTGCCCAGGGACCAGCTCCTGCCGGAGGATGGGGTGTCCCCAGGGCACAGGGTCCCCCCCGGGCACAGGGTCCCCCCAGGGCTCAGGGTCCCCCCAGGGCACAGGGTCCCCGTGGGGCGCGGGGTCCCCCGGGGGGGGCAGGACCCCGGCGCTGAGGGTTCCTGGGGGGGGGTGACAGTGACAAACGTCACCGAGGGACAGGGACCGTGTTGGGGAGAAAC